TGCGGCGGCGGCCTTCGGGAGAGCTGCCCATCGCCCAGCACACCAGAGGCGTGGGCGGCAGCATTCCAAGACATGCGACGTCCTGATTTTTTCAGGACGGCGCCCCCGCAAGTCCCCACCCTTTCCCCGGGACCGGTTTTTCGTCCCGGGTTGTTTTTTGACGGCCCTGGGGCCCGGCGAGGGCCTCTGTGGGTCGAAAACCACGAAGAATCGCCCCTCCTGGTTTTTTGGTACGACGCCATCATGTCGTGGGTCCCTTCCAGCGTGGGAGGCGGCCTGCCCCACGAGGGCGCCGGGCGGCGGAGGCGGCAGCTCGAGCCGCCCTTGCGCCTGCGGAGGCCGCACCGCCGGCAGGCGCGGCGCCCGCCGAGGCGGCGCACGGCGAGGCGGCGGCGGCCTCGGGGGGAGGAGCTCAGCGCGGGCAGCGGCGCGGGCGGGGGGCGGAGCCCGTTGCCCAGCCACGCCCCGCATGCTCCGCCTCCTCCTCCTCCGCCTCCGCCTCCTCCTCCTCCTTCTCCTCCTCCTCCTCCTCCTCCTCCTCCTCCTCCTCCTCCGCCTCCTCCGCCTCCTCCTCCTCCTCCTCCTCCTCCTCCTCCTCCTCAGCTCCGTGGCCAACAGCACCCACGCGGGCAAGCGCGAGAGGAACGGGCGGCGGGCGCCAAGCCCCGAGTGGCCGCATGTCCCGCGAGGGAGCCCATGAAGAGCCTGTCCGGGGACACGCTGCCATATGGGGCAGCCGCCCCGGGCGCGCCCGCGGGGCCAGCGCCTGCGAGAGCTCCTGCGGGAGCGGGGGCTGCCGACGCGATTGGCATCCAAACCCTTGGCGCCCCGTTGGAGATTTCGGGAGTCCACCCGACCATGGCGCTCTTCGGCCACGTCCGCGCAGCCCAGACGTTCGGCAATACGCACATCCCCTGCAGTTACACCACCGAGGCAGCGGCCAAGACGGCGGCCTCCAAGATCACCTCGATGCTTCCCGGCGCGTCGCCATTTTCCGTCACCGTCCAGGGCGGCATCCCGGAGCATAGCGCCGGCACAAACTCACATAAATTCACATGCCTTTCCATGCGCTGGCGGTGAGCAACTGCCCCGCCCAAGCAACATATGGCGAATGCGCCGAGCGTGGGCTGCGGCGGATATCATTCCCCAGCCACGTACGCCTGAATGGGAGCTCTCCACGCAGCCTCATCTCCGCCATCTCCCCATCTGCCCCTCTCACACTCTCTCGCTTGAATTGGTTTCTCTTGTTGGGAGGGCGCGGGTCGGGGAGTTCTGTGGGGGGATCTGGAGGGGCGCGGGGCAAACGCTAGATTTGGGTCTTCCTGGGGAGGGGGCATCAGCGGCACTTTGGCAGGAATCCTCGCCCGGTCTCGACTCCATCCTACGCCAGCGTACGACGTAGGTACGAGGCTAGTCAGATGGAGGGAGAGAGGAACAGACCCGGAGGGGAAAGAGTTTTTCCAGAAGAGGGTCGGGTCGCCTCTTGCTCCAGGAAATCTCCTAGCGACGCTGCCTCGGAGAAGCCTGCATCCCCTGGCGACGTACTCAGCAGGGCGCGGGCGCATTCCTGCCTAGATGCGGGTTGCGGTATCCCTCGGGCCTGCCAGAAGGCAACGCGCAACTGTTGAGTGACCCCGCAGGCGCCTAAGACGTGGAAGGTCGGGCTGTGGACGGCACGCTGGCAGAGGATGCAACGTTGTTCCTTAGCCCACGACTGGTGCCCCTGCGTGTGAGTGAGCAGGATGAGGCGGTACCGAAACCGTGACAGAGGACGTTGACCCCGTAAGTCTTCCCATGGCAACGGCAATTCCATGGCTCTGCTGAGGTCCCCCCGCGCAACGGAGCCCAGCAAGAACAGAGGGAAAGAAAGTCCGCACGTGCTCTTCTAGGCGCTGTTGAGGCCTCCTGCGACAGTGAGCCTCCGCCAGCGACCGGGCGCTCTCCTTGCACTGCACCCGGGTGCCTGCTCCTCCCGACGCGCACCACCCCGGCCAGTCGAGGAGGAGGAGGAGGAGGAGGAGGAGGAAGAGGAGGAGGAGGAGGAGGAGGAGGAGGAGGAGGAGCCCCAGGAATCGAGAAGAGCCACGGAGGACTTCGCTTGCCCACGCTTCGCCTGCGGCAGCATGCCCTCTGGCGAAGCCCACGCTGTGCAGATCTCCGTCGGGGAGGAGCCCTCGCGCGGAACGTCGGGATGCTGCGTCAAGGGGCCGCCCTGCCCGAGCCGGAGAGCACCCAGCCCAGCCCCGCGCAGGCAGGGGCGGCAGGACGCCAAGAGGGGCTGCAGAGCAGCGCCCTCGCCCATGACTCGTACACGTCATCGGCCGCCACCGCGTAGAGCCAACGTCCGAGACGAAGGGAGGAGTCCACCTTTGCCCCTCGTCTGGCAGCTGCTGCCAAGGGGATGGGCTCGCCGCTAACGAGCCCCGCGAGTTCTGCAACCTGCGCTGCCGCTGCCCCCGGGCGTGCCGACGGCGCGCGCTCTAGAGCAAGGTCCCTTTGCCACTGGAGCCCCAACCAGCGGTGCGAACAGGAGAGCTGCATCGGTATTGGCAATCGCCGCGGCATCTCTCGCGTGCTCCGCGCCCTGGACGACCACGGCGTGCTTGGCAGCTTTCGCGTGCGGCGATGCTTTCTCACGAAAAGCCCAATCCGCAAGTACCTGCTGAGCACGCTGGGCGGCGCCCCGGGAAGATGCTAAAAGCACGGGGTCGTCCGCGTGTAGAACCGCGGCGAGGCGCCTGAGCGCCATGAGATCCAAGGCAGCAGGCGCCGAAGTTTCGAGGTCTTCGTCAGCCCCGAGGGCAGAAGGGTGAGGAAGCAGGGAACCAGAGCGCACTGCCTTCAGCAGCCCCCCCGTGCGGGATTCATCCGGCATGCCAGTCCCTCGCCACGAGTACTGCGCCCAGGCGCTGGGCATGACCACGTCGATCCCTACTTCGCACCCCGCTTCCAGGAGGGAGTGCGAAAGTGTATCCACGCAAGCAGGAAAAATCAGTGGGCCGACCGCCCCTCCCTCCAGGATCCCTCTTGAAGAATCTGCACGACCGAGATCCCGCTGAAGTTCACGTGGATCCTATCCTCCTCCAGGATGCTCGCGAGTCGCTGGAGCCCTGCCTGCTTTTCGCGAGGCTCACCGGCAGCGGCTCGCGCGGGCGAGGCGGCGCGGGGCCGGCGGGCGAGGCGGCGCTGGGCGGCGGCGCAGACGGGCTGCGGCGCGCGGCGCGGAGCTGCGTGGCGGCGCTGGGCCCGCGGCGGGCGACGCTGCCGGGGCCGGCTGGACGCGAGCTGCTGCGCGAGGCGCTGGGGCGCACTGGCGGGGCAGACCTGCAGGCCGCGCGAAGCTCCTGTGTCACGGAGGCGGAGGTTCAGTTCAAAGAGCCACCGGCGTGCGGCAGACGCGCGGCCGCCGGAGGAGGAGGAGGAGGAGGAGGAGGAGGAGGAGGAGGAGGAGGAGGAGGAGGAGGGCGAGGAGGAGGAGGAGGATAACGATAACGTATCGAATTAATGATGATGATGATGATGATGATGATGGATGATGGATGATGATGATGGATGATGATGATGAGGATGATGATGATGATGATGATGAAAAAAAATGATGATGATGATGATGATGATGAGGATGATGATGATGACATGCTGATGATGATGATGATGAGCTGATGATGATGATGATGAATGATGAAGATGATGATGATGATGAATGATGTGAGGATGATGATGATGATGATGATGATGATGATGAATGATAGATGCTGATATGATGATGAATGATGATGAAGGATGGTAGGATGATGAATGAGGCGGGTGTGGGGGGTGGTGATGAGGAGGATGAATGAATGATGATAGATGGTGGTGGTGGTGGAATGATGATGATGATGAATGATGATGAGGAGGAGGAGAGGAGGAAGGAGGAGGAGCAGGAGGAGCGGAGTGAGCAGGAGGAGCATGAGGAGCATAGGGAGGAGGATGAGGGATGAGGGAGGATGAGGGAGGAGGAAGGATGAGGGAGAGGATGAGGAGGATGATGATGATGATGATGATGATGATGAGATGATGATGATGATGATGATGATGATGATGATGATGATGATGATGATGATGATGATGATGATGATGAGGAGGAGGAGGAGGAGGAGGAGGAGGAGGAGGCTGATGCTGATGCTGATGCTGATGCAGATAATACTAACATTAATAATACTAAGAATAAGAAGAAGAAGAAGAAGAAGAAGAAGAGGAGGAGTTGAAGAAGGATTGGCCCCTCCTCCCCGATCCTGGATCCCTCGACCGCTGCACGAAAGCGCAAGCAGCTTCACAGACCAGCCTCGCCTGCAGCGCCGCATCGCACCACGCCATTGCAGGCCCCGCTGCTTGCAGAGGGCCGAAGACGACCAACAGCCTCCCGGCCCGCGCACCCTCCCCCCACTCTAGCAAATTCAGGGGGGGATCACTGGAGGGTTTCTCCGAAGGGCTTAGGCGACCCGTCCTCCTCCTCTCTCCCCCTCCTCCTCTTCCTCCTCTTCCTCCTCCTCCTCCTCTTCCTCCTCCTCCTCCATCTCCTCCTCCCCCTCCTCCACCTCCTCCTCCTCCTCCTCCTCCTTCTCCTCCTCCTCCTCCTCCTCCTCGTCGGGTCGCTTACGGCCCTGGGGGAAACCGTGCACCCCCATTCTAGCAAATTCAGGGGGGGGGGGTCACCAGCACTGGGGAGGTCGTCGGCTCCTCCTGAAGGTCGCGGTCCGAGGATCGAGGATCGAGAAGGTGCTGGGCGTCTTGAGGCGGGTTTGGGGGTGGTCTGGGGGGTTGTCAGGGCGCAGATTTCCGGCGCCGTGGGTTTTTTCCTCGCAACCGTCCCCCGACCGTCGTCGACTCTCTCTGGTGGCGACTCCCCTCGGCAGCGGCCTCCCCCCCCCCTTCCACGGGCCCAGCAGCGAGGTGGCTGCGAGGGTCCCAGACAGCAAACGTCTTGGTTTGCTCAAGACGGGGCCCCATCAAAGTTCCGTAGCAGTTTTAGCTCAATGCAGTACGGGAGCGTGAGAGGCAGTGTTCTGCTTCGGTGATCTCTTCAATCCAGGGCCTTCATGCCCATCAAAGGTGCTGCAGAGGTGTTGCGCCTCTCTGCCTGCCTCGCTGTCGCTGCTGCCACTGGCCTCGACCCTCTTCCACGACGCACCGCCAGTTTTCATGGCGCCAAGGGGGAAGGCAGGGTTGCGCAGACTGATTGCGGGGCTGTGGCGGGGGTGTGGGATCCGAAATTTCGAAGTTTCGCGTTCCGTGGCGTGCCCTATGCCATGCCCCCGCTCGGGCCGCGCCGGTGGCGCAGGAGCGAGCTGCTGAGCAGCGGCGGGGGCTGCTGGAATGGTACGCTCGACACACGGTCGCGCACAGACGAGCTCATGGATTCGCAGTGCTGCGCGCAGAACCCTTCTAAGAGCAGGCAGGGGATGAGATGGGACGGTGTCGAGGATTGCCTGACCCTTGACGTACGGAGCCCCATGGATACCAGCTCGGGCCTGCGTCCCGTGCTCGTTACCATTCACGGAGGGGGCTTGAGGAAGGGTACGCCCTACATCCCTTACGGGCTCAGGGACGAGGGTTTCGTTGTGGTGGGGGTCCGTTACCGCCTTCATCCGAAGAAGAGAAAATTGCAACAACGTGAACTTCGGAGCTCCGCGCAGGTTTCCTGGATCTGCGCTGGGCCCCCCTGGCAGCGCCTCCGGCGCTGCCGCTGGCGCGCTTCGCGCGCCAGGGAGGGGATCCAGCGCCGATCCGAGAAATCCTGGCAGGCCTCCGAAAGTCTATGTTTTACGCAGTTCTTTCTTTCTCCATCCATGTTTTAGGATTCCTGGCAGTGCGCGAATTGTCAGAGCATGATCCCTTGAGTGTGAGTGGGAACTACGGCTTCTCCGATCAGGTGACAGCATTGCAGTGGGTTCAGCGGAATGCGAAGGCTTTCGGTGGGGATCCAACTCGAGTGACTCTCATCGGTTGCTCCTCAGGTGGCTACAGCCTTTGGAATCTCCTCGCCAGCTCGTGGCTTATTCTCCCGAGCTATCCCTCTGAGCGCTGCCTCCAGGAACAACATGACACTGGACGAGGCGCAAAGGCAGAACTCTGTCTTCGTAGACTCAGTTTGTGGAAAATCGTCTGCAGGGATTTACTCGTGTCTCAAAGAGGCGAGCTTGGAACAAATCATGGTAGGGTTTATGAGCTTGTCCGCCGCCGTGAGCTTTGATCACCGATTTGATTTCGAATTGCCGAGCCCGTCAGAGTACCAAGCAGGCGTGGCCATTGTTGACGGTGTGGTCATGGAGCGTGATTTGCAGAAGGCGCTGAGCTCAAGTGATTCTCACAGCCACGTGTCCCTGTTGTCTGGAAGTTGCAGCCAGGAGGGGTATACGTCGTTGCTGAGCGCCGAGTCCACGGCGCACGACTATGCTCGTGTGGTTCAGAGTTTTGTCCACAACTTGACATCCGCACGTTGGCCCAAGGATGTGGTAAGCCGCATCCTTGAGCTCTATCCTCCGACATCGGCGGAGTTCTATGGCCAACCCAAGGCCGCCATGGACGCCATGATCGCAGACATTCGCGTGGTGTGCGGGACAATCTTCAACGCGGAGCGCTTCGTCCATGGCCGATTGCCTGGTGTGCCAGCGAGGGCCTTGGACCTCTGGCTGTACTACTCGGACATGCGCGCAACTGGCGACAGGGAGATGTTCCACTGCGACACCCTGGCAGCCCTCACCGACATGGAATGCGCATCATGCAATCGAGAGAAGAAGGCATTCTACGAAAACATGGTCAAGGTCCATAGCGAGTTCATCAGGACGGGAAGTCCGCCGCACGGCTCCCTGCGCCGCTTCGCCGACGTAGCTGCGGGTGCAGAGGAGGACGACTACGTCTTGAACGTCATCGCAGGAGACATCACGTCGGCCCAGTCCACCCTGAAAGACCGGTGCAGCTTCTGGCGGAGCGCCGGCATCTTGCAGTTCTACGCCTGGAACAACTAGACACGCTGCTGTAGATCGCCCGATGTGGCGCTCGCTTGATTTGGCGCTCACTTCCCAGACCCCCGACGTCATGACTTTTCCATGACGCGACCCCCAGAGGTCTGGACCCCTTCCCCAGGACCGGCCTCGCATCCCGAGCCGTTCTTTCACGGCCCCGAGGCCCGGCAAGGGCCCCCGGAGGCCGAAAGTAAAACCCCCCGTCGTGATTTCTTCACCGCGCGAGGGGGTCTGAGTCTGCCTGCGCATCCCTCCTGAAGTGGGCGCGCCAGCCCGCCCACCGCGGCGGAGGTGCTGCTCCTCCTCCCCCTCCCCCTCCTCCTCCTCCTCCTCCTCCTCCTCCTCCTCCTCCTCCTCGTCCTCCTCCTCCTCCTCCTCCTCCTCCTCCTCCTCCTCCTCCTCCTCCTCCCCTCTCCTCCTCCTCCTCTCCTCCTCCTCCTCCTCCTCCTCCTCCTCCTCCTCCTCCTCCTCCTCCTCCTCCTCCTCCTCCTCCTCCTCCCCCTCCCCCAGTGGCGTGGGCCGCCCGCACCGGCGAGTCGTCCTTCTGGGCGCCTCCGCCTCGCTGGCCGGGCCTCCCGTGCGTGCCGCCCGCGCGACCGCGCGGGCGTGCGGCGCCGCCCCGCCTGGCCGATCGTGCCAAAGCATGTTGCCGGCCAGGCGCGAGGGGAGCGAAGAGTGGCATAAGCACGAATCAGGCAGAGGAGCATGGAGTATTGGTATGGATAGTCTGTTCAAGATCTCCAGGTTGTCCTGTTCCTCCGCGCGGGCGACAGGGCTATAGGCAAGCCAGTCGGGCCTGTCCCCCTACAGGGGGATGTTCGACAAACAATAATAAAATACCCCAAAAATAGTCAAAAAATACTCCAAACATAGTCTGGGGACTATTTGTTGAGTAGTCTTGACCTTTTTGGGGTGTGTCTGGGGATTTTTTCATTTTTCGTCGAAAATCCCCCTGTAGGGGGACACGCCCGACATAAGCATAAACATGAATCAATTAGTGGCGAAGCGTCCTGGCTCGCCTATAGCCCCACCAGGCAATGTTCTAAGAACCTTCCTGGCGGTTTCCACGAAATGTTCGTAGAACACGTCTGGCGGAGCCTGTCTTGCTCTAGCACATCGGGTTTATGTTCTAAGAACATTGTTTTTGTTCTTAGAACATGTTTGGGGTTCTCAGAACATTTCCTGGTAGGACTATAGGAATGCCGGGTCGGTCGGTCCCTGCCCAAATGAAGGAAAACTGAACAGGGGCTACCTGCCCTCTACAAAGCAAAACGAACGAGGCTGTTTGAGGCCTGTTGCAGCAATCGCGGCCTAATATTGGCTCACGTGCGGAACGAGAAGCCGAAGAGGAAAGAAAGGACACCCTCAGCAGATGTTCAGTCTCAGGAGCATGAAATACAAGAGTGCAGAACTACTCGAAGTATGCAGCCGCCCAACATACAAACTCGGACGTCCGCGCGGACTTCTCGGATCGGCACTGTGCCCCACTCCCTGGCGCGCGGAGCGCGCCAGGGGCGGCGCCAGAGGCGCCGCCGCCAAGGTGGGTTCAGCGCGGATCCGAGAAATCCCCGCGGACCTTCGAGTTCTTATGCTGATGTCATGCTTCGTTCCCCTAATGCAGGCGGGTGCTTGCGTTGTTTTCGTCTCAGGGTACAGCGAAGCGCAGAAAAGGAGACACGAAAGGGTCCCCGGAAGCCCTGGCCCATTCCCAGGGCACACCCTCTCGTCCCTAGCCAGTGTGCGACGGCCCAGAGTCTGGAAGCAGCACCGCATCGATGGTTTGTCAATCTGGCGGACGTTTAGGCTTCTGTCCATAGCTCGGGCCTTGGCGGCCATTCGGAGAGATTCGGACCCCCTCCCCGATTCGGAACGGCGACTCGCAGCTGCTGGCAGGCATCCCGAGGCCAGAAAGCCTCCAACAGCCAACGAAAACCTGCGACAACCACCGAGAGCCTAGCCCTCCTCCTCCTTCTCCTCCTCCCCCTCCTCCTTTTCCCCTTCCTCCTTCTCCTCCTCCTCCTCCTCCTTCCTCCTCCTACTTCCTCCTCCTCATCCTTCCTCCTCCTCCTCCTCCTCCTCCTTCTCCTCCTCCTCCACTCGGTCTTTCGCTCAAGCCTCGTCCCGCTGGGTCGCGCCCGCGCCTCCCGCGTCGTTGCCGATGCCGCCGACGCAGCGAGCTCGCGCTGCCGCGCCGCTCGAGGCTGCCCCCGGGGCCCGCATCGCGGTGCATGCGGTCGCTGGGCTTTCGGGCGGCGCGGATCGTGAGGCAACCCGCCTCCTCCGCTCCGCCGATCGGGCCTCCTTCGCCCCGCCGCCGCCGCCCTGGCGGCGCCGCCCCCCGCCCGTGCCCCACGCCGCCCCGCCCGCGGCCCGCCCTCGGCGGCGCCCGCGGCGGCGGGGGCGCGGCGGCGCGCGCGGCCCCGGCTCTTTGGCGGCGACGACGCGCTGAGGCGGGCGGCGCCCCCGCTCCGCCGCCGCCCGTTGCCGGACCGACGACCTGCCCCCGCGGCGGACGGCGGCCACGGCGGCGACGGGCGGCGGGCGGCCTCCTGGCGGCGCGCGCGGCGCGGCACTGGCAGGCGCCGTGCCGGCTCAGCTCGGCGCGGCCCCCCGCGAGCTGGGCGCCCTCCTTCGCGGAGGGCCCGCCTGCGCTCCGGGGCCCCCTCTTGCAGCAGGGCCTGCTGCTCCGCGCCGCGGCCCTCCTGGCGGAGACCCCGGGGCGGACGGAGGTGGCAGCGAGGGGGTGGCAGGGGGGCTCGCCGCGCAGCGTGCAGGCGCGCCGCCCCTCCCCTCCGTCCGCCGCGCGGCGCTCGTCTTCGGCGTTTGCCACTCCATGCTGCCCTGGGCCTGCCCGTGTCCGTCCCGAGCGGACGCGGCCGCAGTCGGCGCCCACCTCCTGCTCCTCCTCCTCCTCCTCCTCCTCCTCCTCCTCCTCCTCCTCCTCCTCCTCCTCCTCCTCCTCCCCTTCTCCTCCTCCATTCCTTCTCCTTTCAGATAACTCCTCCCTGACGCATCCCGAGGCAAGTTTTTTTGGCGGGCCGGGCGTTTCGCCTGAGACGTCCTCACCACCTATGATTATGAAGCTTTAAACGTGGCAACAGCTTCACAGACAGATGGAGGGCGGGTGGTTTTCAAGATGTGGCTCACGCTTTAGCGCTGCGCGCATTCGTTATTAAATGTTGCAAGAGCTTCACGGATTGAGTGCGGGTGGTTTTCAAAATGTGGCTCTCGCCTCAGCGCCGCGCACATTCGTTTTTCAAAGTTGCAAGAGATTCGCGGATTGAGGGAGGGTGGTTTTCAACATGTGGTTCTCGCCTTAGCGCCGCGCACTTTCATTTTTTCTATTTCTTTTAAAAACATGTAAGAGCTTCACGGATTGAGGGCGGGCCGTTTTCAATCTGTGGCTCTCGCCTTAGCGCCGCGCATATTCGATTTAAACATTTGCAATCGTTTCACGGATTGAGGGCGGGCCGTTTTCAATATTTGGCTCTCGCCTTAGCGCCGCGCGCACTCGTTTGTACAAGTTGCACTAATTTTACGAATTTGTATGATCAATGTACCAGAAACGGTGTTTTGGAAAGGGTTCAGGATTATGCGGGCGCAACAGTTAAGTTGATTCGTTGTGTTGAAGTCCCACAAATGGTGTTCTGGCACGATTCTGGATCGTCAAGACGCAGCTGTCAGGTTGATACGTGGCGTTGAAATCCCGAGAACAATTTTCTGGTACGCTTCAGGATCTTCAAACTGCTGTCTTCCAGCGATGCAATTCCCTCAATGGAATTGAAGGGTTGTAGGGGACTATGAAGAGGGAGAGTGGAGGGAGGGTTAAGCCCGACATCGTTGATGACTCTTGGGTTTCCACTGATCCACCTCCTCCTCCTCCTCCTCCTCCTGCTCCTCCTCCTTTTGCTCCTCCTCCTCCTCCTCCTCCTCCTCCTCCTCCTCCTCCTCCTCCTCCTCCTCCTCCTCCTCCTCCTCCCGCGAAAAAGCTCGCGTGCCAGCCTGTGTGCCCCGACACACCTTGCGCTTCTCCAGCGACGCGACGACGAGGCAGTGCATCACAGCGTGCCGGAAGCCGCTCAGGTGGCCAGCTCCGCGGCCAGGGCGGCCCTGGCGCGTGCCCGCGCCGCCTCCGAGCCGAGCGCAGGAGGCGCAGGGCGGCGGGGCCGTGGCGGCCGCCGGTCTCAAGCTCCAGCGGCACCATCCGCTACATAGGGCCCGCGCCCGGCGGGATACTGGCGTTTGTCCGCTTCTGCGTCGCGGCAGACAGCGCCGCCCCGCGCAGCAGCGGCCCAGAGCTCCTCGACCTCGCCAGGTACGCCGTGGCGCGCCGTGACGTCGAGGAAGACCCGCGTGCAGTCAGCCCGCTGGATCTCGAGGTCGAGGATATCGCCTCCTCCTGCCTCGTTGTCAGCGCCGTGCCGCGACGGGCGCAGGCCTCCCTGGCCGCCGGGCGCTCGGCTCTCGCGCCGCCCGCTCCGCAGCCCGCGCAATTAGTGCCGGAGCCGGCGGTCCCAAGCCGGCACTGGCGTCTGCCGACCGACGCGGCAGCCGCAGTCTGCGTGGACCCGCCCCCGCGCGGTCTGCAGGTCGCCGCTGCGCGCCTTGAGCCCGCCCCTGCGCGAGCAGCGCCGAGCGTGGCGAGCCTGGGCGCCGAGGGGGTCCCCGCAGCGCTGGCCGGCGCGCTGCCCAGTGCGGGGCGCAGTGGTGGCAGGTGGCCCCAGCGGGGGCGGCGTCCCAGCAAGCAGCGCGCCGTGGAGCGGGAGTCGGGGCCCTGCATGCGCTGCCCGGGCGCGCCGGGCGAGGCGGTCTGCCAAGCTGCCGCGCGAGGGCCGCCGCAAGAGCAGAGCAGCGCCTGGTCGTCGTCAGAGTCCAGGGAGCCCGGCAAGGAAGCGTAGTCCTTTTGGTCAACCCTTGCAGTGAGCATCCGCTGCAGCTTCTCGTTCGGTGGCGAGCTCGGCCCAAGTTGGCAGTCTGTCGGGGCCGTCCGCGCCCCAGCGGCGCGGCGGCGGCGGGGGCGCAGCAAGCTCCGCGAGGCTGTTCCGGCAGGCGGCAGCGGGCGGCAGCGGGCTCGCGTCCAGGTCGCCCAGGAAGGCCAGGCCTGTCCGCAGGGCGCCCGCGCTCTGTGCCCAGGAAGTCGCCCAAGCCGCTGGGGCCAGCTCCTCCTAGGAGGGCTTCGGAGGCCGCGGCTGCCCAAGCGCAGCGGGAGCTTGCAGCGCAGCTCCTCCAGGGGCGCGAGCGGGCCGAGGTGAGCGAGATCGCAGGTGGCCAAGAGGGCTGCGTCGCAGGTCGCCGCCGTTGGCCGCGCCTGCGCACGGGGCGTCGTGCGCAGCGCGTGCGCAAGCCTGCCTGTCGCGCAGTGCCGCAGGAGCAGGGCCGCCGCCTGTGCCGCGGGCAAGTGGGGGCAGGCCAGCGAGGGCAGCTAGGCCACCTTCGAGAGCAGCCCGGCGGCCCGTCTCGCGGCGTCCTCGGCGCCCTCCGTCGCGCAGTCGGCCGCGCCCAACTCTGCCTGTTCGGAGAGCGAGGCCCCGACGAGCGTCAGCCTCGTGCTTGCCAGTGCGCTCCCAGGCCAGGCGGGCGCGCGGCCTGGGGCGACCACGCCTGCGCGTTGCCCGGTTCGCAGTTCCAGTCCCGACGGGGTCACGCGGGGCCTGCGCAGCCGGCTCCGCGGCGAGCCCCGTTGGCGCGAGGGTCACCACATCGCCCAAGTACACGTGAACCTCGCTCGGCGGGAGCCCCAGAGTCTCTGCCCGCCGGCGCAGGTACTCCTCCAGCACTCGCAGGCGGGGGCGAAGACCGCAGGCGAAGAGGAGGGGCGCGAGCGGGTCGCCCTGGTCATGCCCGCCAGTGGCGTGCATGGGCGGTGGCAGGTCCCCTTTTGTTGTCCCAGAGGAAGTGTTGCGAGCGGCACCCACAGAAGAGCTCCGCGAAGGGGGGGAGGGAGGGATCCACCGCCTCCAGCACCCCAGAGGCAGGCGGCCTGGCGCGCGGTGCAGAAGGCGTTCTTCGCGTCCAACGCGGTAGCCACGAGGTGTGGCGAGGCTCCCAGCAGTGCGCGCACTGCGTCCGCGCCAGTTGTTCAGTTTCTGGCGGCCGTGCCAATGGCAAACGGCTGCTTGCCGTGCGCGTCTGCCAAGTGGCTCCGCCACGCGGCTGCCAGCGCGCGGCCCACCAAGCGCCGCGGGATGTTCGGCGTCGCGGTGGGCCGAACGCCGCGCTCGCCCTTCCGCAGTGGCGTGGGCTTGGAGGTGGCCAGAGCAGCGGCGGCGCTCTTGGGGGCTCGCCGTTCTGCCAGGCGGTCGCAGACGCCGTAGAAGGCGCTCAGCGCCCCAGAGTCAGAGAGCACCACCCGCCAGTGCTCGAACCTGCCGCCCGCCACAGCGGCCCCTCTCCCCTCAGGGCTGGCCGGGAGGACCTTCCTCAGCCGCCCGCAAGAGAGGGGCGGTTCGTCGATCGAGCTGCCTGGCCGGCGGCGGCTCCAAAGCTGGCGTGTCTCGCGGCTGCAGGAGGCCCTGGAGCTGCTGCCTGGTCTTTGGCGTCAGCGGAGCCAGCCCTGGGCTGCTCAGCAGCGCGGCTGCTCGGAAACACTCCTCGGCCAGCGCTTTCCGCAAAACTTCGTCGGCCAGGGCGCCTGCGTCGCGGTCTCCTCCTCCTCCTCCTCCTCCT